CTGGTCGTATCTCGAAAAATTCGTAAGTAGGGGCGTTCGTAAGTAGAGGTACCACTGTACTCTAAAAGATTATAGGACGAACGCATTAGAAGCAACAGCAACAGCTTAACTTTTTATTCTCTTCATTCTAGATGCACTATCAACATCAGCATTTATGCTCCAACAGCAATACTAAGGAGTATAACAATGCAGGGCTTTCCTAGCTTTATTCTTACATAACAATTTTGAAATACTGATTTCCAAAGCCTTTAAAAGAAAAAAAGCAGCACCTGTTTACAAGTGTCCGTCATATTTTTTTCATTTATCTGGGGGACAGAAGAGGAGGAAAAGGAAGGTAAATGCTTTTGTCTAACATCTTCTGTGTGTTCATTCTGAAATACATTAAAATATATGTTCAAACCAGTTATCATTATTTGAATACTCATAACCCATCAGCATAACACTTCTCCATATCAAGCTATTTAAATTCTGCAAGTAATTGAAGGAAAAGAAAGCAGTAAGAAGACAGTAAACCTTTTGAGAGCAGCCATAAAATACTGGCATTTGTTTTACTCAATATTAAATTTGCACTTAATGCTTTTATGCAGGGAGCATATGAAGCAGAGTTATAGCCAGAAACCTGAAACGTCTGGATAATCAACTGCCTAAAAATGTGATGTTAACATTAAAATGTGTCCATCTGCATAACCAGCCAATATCTACAAATCTGATTATAGAGTTTACAAATTTAAAATGGTTTTAAGACCTAATAAAGTTTAACAAACTTAAAAGAACATGAAACAGTTTGCACTTAAAATAATAAACTATAAATATCAATTTTCTTAATAAAACCAGACATTTAGGGTTTTTTTTTTAATAATATAAAAAAGCTTAGGTCACTTTTATTTTCAAACTGCATACCAAATATGCAATTCTTACAGGATTTGCTATATAATGTACTCTTGTGAAATCTGTATACATCCTTACTATTTCTTTTTGGAGAGTTTCTAGAGTTTTCTTGTGCTCTTCAATCGCTGCTTGCATGGTCTCAACATCATGATGAACACTAGTTACTGTGCTACCTATAGTAGCAACACTCTAGAAAAAAATCAACAGTAAATCTTTCAGCGTCAGACATTCATTGATAATTAATTGAAATTCAAATGTGTTTATTCCAGTGAGGGATTATTTTAATTTGTTACAGTAAACCCAAAGAAAGTTTGCTAACAAAACTTACTTATTGCAGTATAAATAACACTTTATTTTCTTGGATATAACTAACTGAGAATTTATATCACATTTGAAGAATATGGAATCAGATCTGGGGATGCAATAAGCCACTTTGTACTGCTCCACTGAAATCACTTCCACATAAAAACATGCATACAGTGTATGTGGTAGCGTATACACACAATCAGAAATCATCATTTATACTGCCATACACACTGAGAAAGACTGACAATTGCATCAGCATTCTAGATGCATTGATATGCAAGAAAAGATGCATCCTAGGATAAACAGGTTTCCTATCTGGAGAAAAACATGCAAACAGATATTTGAAAAAGTGTTTAGAAATACAACCCCCTTGTATTACCAGTTCTACTGGAAACATGTAAATGCTCTGAAGATTAGTTTATAAGTCATCTTTAGAATTGGCATCATTTCCTACAAATCTAATTAGAAATGTACTCCCCCCAGAAAACCATGCTACAGGGTATTAACATTTATAGCAATTTTACCCAATAAAAAGATCACAACATATGGTGAAAACTACCTTTCTGAATTATAGGAATAATATAAAAAGTGCTGGAAATATAACCTATCAGTAGTAATGCACTTAAATTGCATATGGACAAAGGAGCTTACTTCCAGGCAAGCCAGCATAATGTTGGCTGTAATCTTATAGGGACAAACTATTCTGAATACATTCGTTATGTCCAGTTTTACTATTGGGCCTCAACACTGCAATGACACTGAAATCACCATTACTAATTGCCACCCATATTCTCCCTACAAGTGATTTGTATCACTGGTGAAAGATACCATTTTTCATGTTCTAGTCACATTAACTGGAAAGCAGTATTTCAATAGTTTTACAAATGTTTTTATGGGCTTAATACATTTTCAAATAAACAGAGGAATAAAAACACGATAAAATAAATATAGTTTGCTACCAGGAAGGATTCAATGAAAATACAGCTCTGTATTTGTCAAATACATACATATATATGTACAAAGAATTCTAAGTATAGATTGATATAAAAGTATTAAATATAATACGTACTTTCTGAAGCTCTTCCACTGTCACAGGAAGATTAATCAAATCAGAAGCAGATTTAATATTTGTTTTAAGATGATTTACTGCCAACATCAACAAAGATATCTGCAACCACAAATGAAAGAATGATTTTACAGTACAAGTTTCATCCTTTCTCTTGTAAAGGTTACAGATAAATCTAAACATTAAGAAGAAAGGAATTCATCCTTAGACAATGTTAAGAATGTGTTAATGTTGGATTCAGATGAAAACTTCACACATTTTGCTAAGCAATAATACAGAAAATTTTCAACAGCATTTATATATGAATTTAATATTAACTGACTAAATTGAGTGATTAATAGTGCATATTTAAAACTATTTTTGGTACAACTTTCCTTGAACAAATGCTCACTCACTTTACCTGTTTGCTTATTTCAGTGATGTTTACCCATATTTTGTTTATCCCCAAATCTCCATTCTTAATCTTTTCCAATTCCTTTTCTTTGTTAAGGAGGTCTTCGGTCATTCTGGGAATTTCTTGGAATGAAGTTTTTTGATTAGATTCCACTAAAATAAAAAAAAATTAATGTAATAGTTAACAAATCTGAAAATATTTGAATAGCTTCTTTAAAGCCCTAAATGGCTCTGAATATCTAAGAGGCCATGGTTCCCATTATGAATCTGCAAAAGTCCCTTTGAAGATATTCCCCGTCTCAGAAGCCCATTATCATAGTATGCAGAAGTGCCCGTTCTTTGCATTGCTCCCAAGCTATGGGAGTTGCATTTGGCCTCCACTGTCTTGCATTTAGAAATTTATAAAGAACCGTTTCTAATTAATTGTAGTAAATCTTAATATGTTAGATTCTGGAGGGGTTTTGTTTTGCTTTGCCTTATGCACTTGCTAGAGCCGAAAAACAGGGTATAATTCAAATAAACAACAAACAAAATGTGCCAGTATGCTTATGCTTTCCTAACCCGTAACTGATAACATATAACTTGGTACTTGCTAGTTATAATGGAAGTTGAAGCCCAGCACATTGATAATAGAAACGGGTTGTTGCAACAAACTGAAAAGCATTTAGGATCAAGAAATTTAAGTTTTATTATATATCGCAGTCAAATTGTTCTAAGTACACCTTACAATTGATGACTAAGAAATACTTGGTTATATTTAGTAAACATGTTTTTCTATTTGCTTATGGCTCTATTTTCTGATTAGTTTTGCAAAAAGTATCTTTTGTTTTATATTTAGAAGATGCACTTAATAATAAGGAAGCCACAAATGTAAAGTCTGTTAACTATGCCACTGATCAGGAAGCACTAGCACTGATAAATAAAAACATTTATGTCCATGCTATTAAGTTCTTATGATTAAGTATGATATAACCTACCAATCCCCTGAATAGAGAAAAATTGTTTTTCTCAACTACAAATGACATTACTAAGATTCCAATAGTAGTTCAACAATTGAACAAACTGCCTTAGGGGGTAGATGATTCTCATCTACCGGAGATGCTTAAACAGAGGCTGGATGGCCATCAATCAGGGATGCTGTAATAGTATATTCCTTCACTGGGCAGGGAGGTGGACTACCTGATCTTTAAGGTCCCTCCCATTCTCTGATTCTTAATTTCAAAATCCACATCAGAAAATATCTTAATTACATAAACCCACAGATCAAAAAAAGCACAAGCTTTCAATATCTTCATCAAGCAAGATATTAAAAACATGGAGGTGGAGGGTGAAGAAGGAAAAAGGTTGACAATATTGAAGACATAAAATCTGCATAGTCCACATCAAAGATACAATGAAGGAGAGGAAAGCAATCTTTCAAATTAGGCTCTCCCTGGTGCAGTGATTGTCTCAGGTTATAACCAAGACAGCTGCAGGTATTTCTGAGATAAATAGTGCTGATCCCAATTTTGAAAATATAAAATATAACTGCTCTCTCAAATCTGCATTCATTCATTCTTTATTTGCTTTATGTAGCATTCTATCCGATGAAGGGGTATGTTTGCCTAAACGTATTACCTTCCATGCATTTGAAATTTCTTTTTGAGGACAACATGTTTGTTTTTGCTTTTGGTGAAATATTCTTAAGAAAGTGAAAACATATGATTTGCACAATAACTCCTGCTAACTAAAGGCAAGCTATATGCTAATTTCTTCCCCTTAAGCATTACAGAGGTGGCAAATATTAGAGATTAGAACTTACTGGTTCGAAATCTTTCCTTTAATCCATCCAGATCTTCTTTGAGAGCAACTTGCATCCACACCAATCCAACACATGCCACCACACAAGCAGCCAAGATGACAAAAGCACATAACGGGTAGCAGAGTTTGCAGCATCGCAGGTAGTCACCCCTACATTAAAAATGTTTTAAATGGTTATTTATTTATAGAGCTAAATATTACACTGACACCCAACTAAATTCAATATTGGAAGCAATGGGTTTTTTTTAAACTCTAATGTGTACTTGTACTATACTTTCATAGTGTAGTAAATATGAAAAAGGCAAATTCCATGCTATGAAAAATTAGGAAGGTGATTAAAAATAAAACTGCCAATACCGCATTGTCCTTGTATAAATATATGGCATGTCTGCATCTGGAATACTAAGTATAGTTCTGGTCACTGTACTTGAAAAATATAACATAGCTGGAAAAAGAGCAAAATAGGGCAATCAAAATGATCAGGAAGATTAAGTATCTATATAAGAAAAGGCTAGAATATTTGTGATTCTTAGCATTAAAAAAGGGTGATCAGAAGACATGACTGAAGCATATAAAATTATGCACAGCATTGAGAGCGGGAACAAGCTTCTTCAATTCATTAAAATAGTGTCGTTCTACATCAGGCCTGAGATAGAATTACAAACTTTAATTCTTTTTTAGGACCACTGTGAGCTGGACGGATATATTTCTTTTTGGGGCTACAAGACTGGATGATTTTGGGGGGCAGATTGCCAACCCCTGCTTTAAAATATCACTAGACTCGGGATGCCTTCACAGTTCTTAAACCAGTTATTTAAAAATAAAAATAAAAATAAATGAGTACTACATGTTCTACATAAGAATTCAAACTCTCTTATTTTAACCAAATGGAAAATGTCAGGAGAATTCTTAAAAGGTACTTCTGCATTAAATCCATTTTTAGGATTCAACATAAATGAATAAAAGTAAGAAAATTAAGATATCAAATCTTGTGTTGTTTATGTTTTCACACATTCTTTTCACTGTCCTTTTTCTTCTAGTCCATGTATAATAAAATAATTTTACAAGGATATAATCATTAATAAACCTATTTCAATCAGTAGCATTTGCAGTAGTTATATTTTTAATATAGTGTATTAAAGGGTTAACACTGAAACTGCTTCGTTTTTATATATCTGATTAAAAACTTAATCCAATCAGTATTGTTCCTTAACCCACAGCTCATATATTTAAATAATAAACCATCTCCAAGTAAATTACAAGTCATCAGGTAACACAACACTTTAAAGCAAACCAACACTAACACTGTGACTCAGTATGTAGCACGAAGCATTCCTAAGACTGCATTTATCAGCACTGATGTGATGTGCTCATGTTATAGTATCAAAACTTTATGCCCATCAGAGTATGCTTAGTGAAGAATTCTTACAGTAATCCCTTATATTTGGTATTGGTTTACAACAATTCACCACAAAGAAGCCATAAATAATATGTATATAAACTAATTGCATTAATGCAACTTCAGTTAACTATATTTGAAATTTTAGAGAACAAGTACTTTTATTAAGCACTACAGAACATATTAAACAAAAGTAGAAAATTATCTTATCCCACAAAGCCATTAAGCAGAAATACTACAGAGGTGCAGACAAATGTATCACAAATCCCAATAAAACCAGATTATGCTTTGATGCATGTTTATGTACCACTGTAACCAAAATCATATTTAGTAATCAAGTTAACAGTACAATTCCTGCAGTCTGACAATACTCAAACAGAAAGAATGACAGTATCACTCTTTCCCATACCTGCATCATTAGGCCTAGTGCAAGATCAACACCAGGACAGGTTACACAAGTAACACACCCAAGTTACTATGTCAGGGAAGGCTAATTTTCCAAACTATCTTGCTGTGACTCTAGTCATTCCCCAGCAGCAATTCGTTTTCAGTTCCAGCTGGGCTCCGCAATTTGATGTTCTCCAAATGTGTTAAGATGATAATTACCTTCAATCCAAAGCAGCTATTGGCTGAAGTAATGGAACTACAGTCCAACACAAATCTAGAGCAACAGATTGAGGGTTGTAAATATACTGCTATTCCAGCCACTACATTTTCTGAATTATACTCATTCCAAATCCGGCCTTATCCCCCAACACCTGTTCGCTCGGTCTCTTCAAAATTCGGAGTCGTCTATAAGCTGAAAGCCACTCGGTGTTCCCTCCCTCGTCCTAAAGCCCCACATCCCGTTCCATTCCTAAACCGTTCCATTTCCGCTTCTCAGCCAACCTAAGTCCACGGCCTTCAGTTCCTCCTGACCCCACGGACAGTCCTCGGTTCCCATTCCCTGTGTCCCCCCTGCTTCCCAGCCATACCCCTCCCTTCTTCTCACTTAGAAAAGCGGGCGCGGGCGCCTGGTAGCCCGAATCCGTCCCCGTAATCCGGATCTGAGGAGCTGCTGGTGCTACTTTCGGCAGACTCGGTGCGGAGCAGTCGATGACCCGAGGCAGAGCCTTTCCTGGGGTGCTTCTTTTTGCGCCGGCCGCCTCCGCCGCTTCCGCTTCCGCGGTCGCCGTTTGCACCGCCAAGGCCTATGAGCGCGTTCAGCTCCTTGCGCTTCTTCATCCTCTTCTGCTGAGCCGGGGCAAGGCTCTGGGGAGCCGCGCTCCGCAACCCAGGAGGGGCGTCTAACTCGGGGCCCCGGCTCGCCAGCTTCAGCGTTTCGGACGTTCACCGCCCACACGGGAGTCTCAAGAGGGCCGGCGCGGATCTCTCAGGCGTCGGTGATGCCGTTGTGGCTGATTCTCCTTCCCACCGGCTGTAGCTGTCCCCGCAGGAGGCTGAGCCATGGCAGCAGGAAGACCATCGCTTCCCTTTGCTCCTCACCGACCAACACGGGTCGGAACCATTACTTGCTAGCACCGAAGACACCGATTGGAGGGCTTTGCTCATTTACGACAACCTACCAGTGTCACCCACTCCTATTGGATAAAAGAGCTGTTTTTCTTCTTTCTGTCTCCTCCCCGATTGGGCTATATTAGCCTTTTCTCATTGGCTAGTGATTTCTACATCCGGGGAACCAGTTAATACCCGGTCCACAGCGAGGACTACAAATAAATTAACCAATTAAGGGGCCAGGACTAATGGAGAGATAAATAGAATAGTGTAGAATGACACGTAGCCTGCAATGACTATTGAACATATCTTATTCATGAAGAAGTGCCATTGGGTCAACCACTCTGCCTCAAATGTCATTAAGTAGGATGGGAAAGGATACATATTAACTTATAGAGGGGAAAAAGTCAAACGCCATAGGGACAGTATCTTAAATAGGCCAAAAAAAGGGGCTTAGAATATAGTTGCAAGCTTTTGAATTCCCAAAAACTCCCTAGTCTAGATGGTTAGAAATTCAGCAAGGGGGAAGGGGGAGTGAGTGAAAATAATGTGTCTGATTAAATTATTATCTAAGCATGTAAACTGGTAGAGGAATGTAGTTCAAAAATCAGCCACATTTTGCCCCTTCCTTTCCCCATTCCCCTTTCTACAGCTTGTCAGATGAAGTTTTATATCTGGAAAATTTGTATTGCCTTAATAATGCTGTTGCTTCTATGGTTGATCTCAAAAGTCTAAGTGGACCTGTTTACTACTCAAGGAAATCCCAGGACCAAAGGCTAGACAAGGAACTTGAAAAAACACCAAGAAGAAAAGCCTGGCAAACTGCTTCCACCTTGTTGCGAAGAAGTACATGGCTGTGTTGTTATTAAGACCAGAAACAAGCCTGACTTCATTAAAGAGCCATATCCAGCTCTGCATCTGAGATACTGGCTCAAATTATTCTTCTTTGAAAGCCCTCAAGTTTCTTTAACTTTGCAAAATAAATTTACTCCATCATGAGTAACTGAAATAAAGTCTGATTTAAGACTGCAGATTTTCCATGCAATAACTGATCCCGACTGGCTATGAGGAAACTCTGTCAGAAACACAACAGATCCTTGTCCTGTTTTAAAATGCATCATGAGTTACATCAGAGCTCTGAACAGTTGGTTTCCTGGTATTTCTTTGAATACTCTTAATAGGGTTAATTTTGCTTCTTGGCCAAATTACAAGGAGAATGTCTCGAAACAGTGTTATAATTGGCTTCTGGATTGCAGGGACAAATTTCATCTGAAAGTTGTACTCAACAATACCTGTAGCCCATTTTTATTCTATTTTCTTAGGAAGGGAGGGAGGGTTTCAAAAGTTTCAGCTGACATCGATTAAAATTAGCCAATTTTACCATAATTTTCCAAAAATCTCTGCCAATTTCTGTTTAGAAAAAAAAAATAGCTTGTTTCTTACTCATTCCAAGTTGAATAGGGAGCTTTCTGGCATCCCAAGTCTGCAGGAATTTTCTTAAGTAAGCTTCTTGTACGATTCTGAGAGGGAACAGTCTAGCTGCTCCTGTGATGGTTCTCAGTTGTTTTCAGTTGTGCTAGCTTTTCATGTTGTTTTTGTAATTCCATTATTTGCGGTCTAGTTGATTTACTCACAAAGTGGGTAGCCTGAGAGGCTTTACCCCCATAACCATACACTCCTCCTCAAATACCTGATCTGCTCCATCAGAGCTGATTATAGCTCTTTCTCCAATGGGCGAAGGTTTTACAGGTAAAAGCGCCTGCATGATTGCAGGTCCCACTCTGCTCCCCACGGCTCCTTCCTGGAGGACACAAGACTGGAGTCAGGTCATCCTCGTCCCTTTGGAAGTAGGATGGGAGTGGCAGATCACAGGGTGGGGTGAAGGGCATCGTCTTTTGAACCATCATCTGGGCAACTCGTCGCTCAGCCACATCAGCCCACAGGACCCAAAAGTCCATTTGGCAGGGATGGTTCCACTCAGTTTGCACTCAGACTGCCCCCAGCAGACTCAAGTCAAAAGGAGCCCCACTGTGACTACCTCTCCTCCCGTGAAAGGTGTCCAGTGTATTTGTCCACTTCCATGTGCACAGTATGACCACTCTCCTTTGGCCACCCCTCCTGGACCAACAGGGTTACCTGGTCCCACAACTGGACCACGAGCCCCAACTGGCTCCTCAGGAGTGTGCCCCTCCCCTGTCCCATTTCCTTACCTTGTATTCTCTCCCAAGGGACTACTCTAATCCCCTCCTGGCTCCTCAGTTAACTGACTACTCCAAAGATGCGTGGGTGAACTCACCCTGGCCTGGCAAGTGTGTTCTGTGACAGGCGGCCGATCTGAGCTCTGAGGGGTGCCATGCTGCTATCCCAGATGAGCCCCCAAATTGTTGCCTTTAAAACTCAGGCACCCCAGGTGGCATGGAGCTGAAGACCTTTTCCCTGAATCTGGGAGAGAAAACAAATTTATCTTTGCAAAGGTGGTTTCTTAGCCTACATGAAAATACGAATCACCCAGTAATCCGGGCAAAGCAAAAACCGTTTATTGGGTGGGGGGGGGGGGAGATCAAGTCTTTTTAAGGGGTACAGAAACAATTGATACATACATTCGGCATATGTGATATGTCTGAAAGCAGGTAATCAAACAATAAAAGACATTGATTACACGTGAAAATTGGACAATAGAAAACATTGATTCCAGATAACATTCCATAAATTTATGGGTTATGTCACTCCCTTTCCCAGCCAGGTTTGTATCTTTAAAACTTGCAAGTGTATTCAAGGACTTTCTTTAAAACTTGCAAGTGTATTCAAGGACTTTCTTTAAAACTTGCAAGTGTATTCAAGGACTTTCTTTAAAACTTGCAAGTGTATTCAAGGACTTTCAGAATACTCTCTCCGTTGTTTAGTTGCTGAAAAGGCAAGTTCTTGTATACCAAAAGAAATGCCCTTGGCCCAGAAGGAAAACATGCTTTCCTAAAGTTAGAAAAGAAGCCTAGACTGCCATGTTAAAAATGCTAATATCATCTTTTTTTAAAATGCTAAAAATGAAGCCTAAAATTCCAGGTAACAGTCCTAGTTTTACAAAAAGATTTAAGTTTATACTTTTGAAAGTTTAGGCATGTTCACCAATATTTATGCCCATCGAGCACCATGAGGGGGATATAAAAAACAATCAAGATGGTAAACACAACTGCGCAGTTGAATCCTTGCCCCTTTGTAAGCGTGTGGGGTGAGGCACATACAAAAGGGGCAAGGATTTGATTGTGTGTTCACAACCACCATCTTAATCTTTGTGACTGCCACTACCCAGAGAATCCCTATGTACAACACACAGATGTGCTTTTACATTAGCCAGACTTCTGGAAGGGAGATTCAATGGCACACCTATATAGATCATTCATGTCCATGACTTTTGGAGGAAATTGAGCCTATAGCACACATCCATCACTGTTGCCTCTTTTATTTAAATTGGTGTAAAAATTAATTATACTTATTTTAACTACCAGACACAACACAACATATCTTATTCCTCTATTCTTAGCAGACACCTCAGAGATAACCTCCAAGAAAGCAAATAAATTCTGCTCCCTTGTTAATGCTGTTCACTGTTGTCACAGTTCTTGTTTCTTGTTTTTCCGCCATTACTGTTAAAATCTCATGTCCAAAACAGTTTTCCTGCCATGGATATAATCAATTGGTGCAATATCCTTGTTGTGATTATGACATGGGCACATAAATTTGCAGAGGTAATTATCAGCCTTAAACCTAACCTTAATCCTAACCTTAACCCATGTGATGGGTGGCAGGTGGGAAGCATGAAACAGCTAAATAAGTGCACATAATCGATTGGACAGTGAAACGCACTAGCAGGCAAAAACTTCTGGGTGGACAAAAGGGGAGTCCTTGTCTCGTCATTATGATTCATACATGTTAACAAAACTTCAGAGTACTGTACTACGGAGCATTTCTGGATTAGGGACTTTGGTCTTTGTGTCCTAGTCCTGACAGACCAATGCGGGAGTAAATGGACCCGTTCCTCTCCCGATCCAGCCAGTTTCACTTTTCATTATTTAGCGCTATCCTCTCCAGGTCCACCTTCGAAACGGATTGAAAATGACGTAATGTCCTCTGAGGCGCCCCCTCTCGCCCAGCTGCTCTCGCAAAGACTCCCCTTCGCACGGAAGAGGCGTCCCGAGCTTTTCTTTCGCGAGGCTTTCCCCGCGGAAACTGGCATCTCCCCACATTTCGCTTTCATTTAAATTGAGCTGAGCCGCGGGGAAGCAGCCGTCGCCGCCCCGTCAGAGGCGCGGCCGTTGCCGTTGCCGTTGTCTCCTTTGCCCGCTCTTCACGGAGGCCGAGGTCTAGGACGTGCACCGCGCCCCGTAGCTTTCTCTCCCCGAAAAAGCCATTTTGTCACCCAGGTGGGGAGCCCTCCCTTCCGAAAGAATGGATCTTTCGCGGGTTTGGCACCTGGCTGCCGTGTTTTGCTTGACCTACGTCCTGATCAAAATCATCCAGCTGCATCGGCACAGGCAGGTGCTGCTGAAAACTTTGAACAGTTTTCCCGGTCCCGCTCCCCATTGGCTCGCCGGTCATATATTTGAGGTAAGGGGGTTGAGCCGAAGGCCGGGAAAGGTTTTGTTTCCTTTTAAATGAGACAAAGGTACAAAGAGAAGAGACGCAAAGGCAAGAAAGCGGAGCATTTCAGGAGCACTGACAGCAGTGAAAATGTGTAGTACTTCTCTCTTATGCCCCAATATTTCGTCCAGCCTCTGTCGGAGCAGGTCAGAGCCTCTTGGCCAATTCCAGTGGAGACCCCTGGTCTTTGAGGGGCTGCAGTTTAGATATTTTGAGATTTTCTCAACAAGAAAATGGTTTATTAAACTTCTATGCTGCTCCCACCTAGTGTTAGTTAGGGTGTGTCAGTTATCAGCAACCTAAGTCTTTTCTGCACTTACTTTGTAAACAAGAAATGGAGAGAATCCATTTATGTGTTCACTAAGAGTCAGCACCAACTTGATGGCACATAATCAATCAATTGTAGTCAGGAATGGAGAAAGGGACAGATGATGCTGAGTTTTGAAGTATATATACACATACACACACAAACACACAAACGTTTTATTTAAACAGCTGTGGCTAGATTCATACATTGTATTAAACTCTAAACCAGTGTTGTCCAAACTTGGCCACTTTAAGATGAGTGGACTTCAACTCCCAGAATTCCCCAGCCAGCATGGGGTGATTATAGAATCTTGGAAACTAATAGAAATTTCTCAGCTTCATTTATAGGGAGTTAATTAAGACAGAGTCTCTTTGATTTGAAAGGCTTCTTCCTAGATTTCTTTTCACTTGGGTTAAGGTAATGTTTATGATTGTTTATGTCTGTCCTCTCTTCATTTCTTTCCCAGCCTCCCCACAATCTCTACAGAAAGTAATTAGTACAGCCTGGTTTCCCCTCACAAGATGAATGACTGTAAAACCTGTTTTTCTCCTCCTCGTATTCTGGTTGCCTGGTTTTTAAAGAAAAAATTAAGAAGGATTATCCATGTCCCCTTGCATCCCATTTGTGGTCAGCAAAGCCTCAAATGCAGGCAAGAGAAGCTGTAATCGCTATCGCTATATCTGTACTCTGAAACTTTCTCCTTACTCTGATTAGCAGCAAAAGGCTGGGGTGCCTCCTCTGTGGCTGGACTCACACATTGCACTATGCCTTAACAATATTTACTTTGATTTTGGGTTAGTCTGATATGCAGAGCCAATTTGTATGTTTGTTCAGCCCAATAGCTGCCACTTGCACAGATCTCCAAGTATTTTCAAAGTGGAACAAGATTTTTCAAATGTCAGCTTTGTTTCAGATCCTGCATTATACTGGATTGACATATAGTAACAACTGACATTATCAGCCAAAAAGTAGCCAGCAAGAGCAGAAGCTAAGTTTCCAAGATACATGAGACCTTAAAAGGCTCAGTTGAAGTCCCAGAGCTCCTCCAGAAGTTGCAACTGAATTTAATGTTTAATGCGATAGAAGGGGAAGTTATGTGGCACACAGTAAAACAATAATATTAACTGTATTTCGTTAATTTCATGTTATGTTAATGAAATGTAAATCAAATTTTGTTTTACTCTGGCTGCACCCAGTTTTTGTTCTGGCTTTTGAGAGAGGGGCTCCTGATATGCCACTTATAGGCCAAGGAAGACCTTTGGCCTGACAAAAAAAATTAGAAACCCCAAATAGTTCATTAAAATATTTTACCAAATATGACCTTTCCTTGTTCTCTTCTTTATTTTGCACAATGCAGCTTTCAACTATTTCTGCAGTTTACTCAAAGGTGGAGAAATGGAGTCGTCTGTATCCATTTGCCTTTCCTATATGGTTTGGCAGGTTCACTGCATGTCTGAATATCACACATCCTGATTATGCAAAATCAATACTTGCTCGAATGGGTAAGAGACAAAACAGTCTTGATTCATTAGTTGTTGTAATTGATACTTCAGTGCAGATGTAGATTAACTGATCAGTAGCAAGGGAAGTATGTTCCAAAACACATTTATGATTCTGAATTCCCCAACCCTTTAATAATTCTGGTATAGTTGCAAATTACATACACAAAAGGTAATTTCCAATTATCCACCTGTAAGAAAAAGAAAAACCACAAATTTGGTATTATGCACAGAGTTCCATAAAATCTCATAAATACATAAATAACTTATTCTCTTATTTGACAAATGGTTTTACATTGTAATGGTTTTGAGTTATATATACCAATGGCTTGGCCAACACTGAACTAGTAACTGGCAAGGGGATATTAAATGGGAGGTTGCAACCTGGCTGTTACAGGGAAAGAAGGGTAGATCGGGGTCTGGCCTTCCTTTCTTTCAGGCAACTGATTAAGCAAAGGAGTAAAAGTGAAGGCAGTGGTGGTTCCTCCAACCTGTACATTTTTCTGGAAGAAAAGTCTGAACAGACATGTACTAGGTAGAACTGGCTGACAGAAGAGAGGGAGTTTCCTTCCAATTTTATCTGCCGGGTTACTGTGTGGGTGCACAGGTGTGAGAGTGGAAGGTAGAGTGGTTGTGAGCTATACAATTCCATCTCACTGACCAGATGTTCCACCTGACAGTCTGCTAATTTTCAGTGCATGCTGTGGTTTTTGGGTGGCTGTAACAGTGGTCTTGGACCTGGCACTTGGTTTACTCTGACATTGTCAGATTCTTCCTGTAACTGGTATGAATTGGCTGAAGCACACTTGAAGGAAGATTTGGTGTGGTCTAGCTGTTTCTGTATGAGCATTCTGGGTGATGTAACTCATAGCTTGATCACCACTTGCTTGGACTATTGTAACATATTCTGTATTGGACAGTTATTGGAGATGTGTCAGAAGTTGCAGCTGGTACAAAATAATCAAGGCTATTGATAGGCCACTCTGGATCTAGATCTATCGTAAGGTTGATGCTTTGGCTATTGATAGGCTTCTGGGATTAGAAATTCTGGTTATCATGTATAAAGCCCAATAAGGCATAGCACTGAGCTATACAAGGCACTGCCTTCCCAAGATTGAATCTGTGTTCCAGGTCCAAACATCTGGAAAGGGTCTGCTAGGAGTCTCCACTAGAGGTACATGAGTATTTCTATAGTGATTCCTATACTCAGAAACATGGGAATTTGGGCTCATGTTGCCTGTGTAACAAGTAATAAATTCCTAAAGTTTTATTAGCCAGCTGGAGTGTATATTTATAAAAAGTACCGTATTTTTCCAACTATAAGACGATACTTTTTTCTAAAATCCTTACCCTAAAAATTGAAGGGCGTC